CGTCACCAGGAGACCCAGTCCAAAGACGGGTCGGTGAAACCTGCGGCTGCTGAGGGTGCGGCCACAAGTTAAGCTGGTGAGAAGCGTAGCGCACAGCGAACGGCCACAGAAAATGGGGTGCACCGGCATGGATCATGGAGGTGCGAGCCACCTCCATGACCAAACCGATGCGTCGCTCAGCGACCCCATTCTGCTGTGGGGAGTCCGGTAGGGTGAACGTCTGGATGATGCCCTCCGCACGACAAAAGCGACCAAGGACACCTGAGGCAAACTCGCCACCACGGTCTGAGTGAAGACGCAAGACAGGGAGACCGCGGTGGACACGCGCAGAGACAAGCCAGGGGATGAGAGCGCCAGGCACGTCGGCCTTGCGCTCCAGGGGAAAGACTGTGGTGTAACGAGTGAAGTCGTCGACAAGCACAAGGAAGTAGCGCTCTCGACGCGGCCCAGGGACGGGGGCGGGGCCCCAGACGTCCAGGTGCAGGGTCTGCAGCGGCGCGGCGGTAGGGGGAAACGAGGAGGAGTGAGGGGCACGGCGAAGCCGACCCTCGACACAAGGCGTGCAAGGTGGGGCTGGAGAGGAGGGAAACGCGGGGAGGGAACCTGGGAGACCAAGGACAAGACCGTGCTGGGACATGTGACGCAGACGCGGGAGTGCAGGGTGACCTAGGCGGTGGTGCCAAAGGAGGGTCGGGTGAGTGAGGGACCGACAGGAGCAGGCAGCAGCAACCTGGGTGAGCGCTCCAGCCGGGGGGGTCACGGTGTCCAGAGTGAACAGGCCGGACACCGGGTCCCGGGGGAACGTGGACAGGGGGGCACCAGTGGCGGCCTCGGTACAGACAGCATACCGCTCGTGACCAGGGAACGTAGTGGTGACGCCAAGGTCCTGGAGGCAGCCGACACCAACTAGGTTCCTGGAGAACGAAGGGATATGTAGACCTGTAAGAGAGCCCGAAGGAACCGCCGGACAGGGAAGGGTGGTGGAACTGCGGGCGACGACCGGACCGCCAGAGGGGTCAGCGAGAGAAACGGCAGCAGGGACGGGAAGCGGCGTCAGTGTGGTGGATTCGCGGAAGAAACACCGAGAAGCGCCAGAGTCCAAGGTGAAGGAAAGCGAAGCAGAGGCGTCTGGCGATGGAACGACGGCGGAAGCACCAAGACTACACAAAGCAGGAGATCCTACACCAAACGCAGTAGGGGAGGCTAAGCTAGGCACACCTACACTAGGCAACAGTGAGTAATAAGTTGGAAGCACACTAGAGTCATCAGCATACATCACATGCAGAGCAGAAACAATGGCATCCATGTCCATATCAAAGATCTGAATCTTACGACTAAGCAAACTGTGCTAGTCTGGGAGGTCTGGCAACGGGCCGAAGCGCTGACGAAAGAGGTCGTCCAGGCGACGAAAACAGCGGGGAGTGGAGTGACCGAGCCTACCGCAAACGAAACCGCGGCGAGGACCGGTCTGGATCTGGTACTGACAGCGCCCGCCGCCAGAGCTACCACTCGACACACCACCACGCGCCCGACCACCGCCAGCGCCGGGCCACCCGGGCGGGAGGACACTCGTCTGTCGCGTCTGCGACGGCTGCTGCGGCTGCTGCGAAGGCTGCGACTGCGGCGGCTGCTGCGGCTGCTGCAACTGCAGGGGCGGCGGCTCAGCTGGACTGGGCAGGGTCCCCTCGTCCGCTCCAGCACCGGACGACCCGACACCACCACTACCCCCTCCCGCACCCCCGCCGCCGCCGCCGCCGCGCCCAGCCTTGGGGCGGCGGCCCTTCCCCGAACGAAGGTGCGCTGCAGCAGCTGTCTCAGCCACTGCAGCAGAGCCGTCGGAGAAGGTACACTGGGCGGGGGCACAACCCTGAAAGATAGGGACCGGCACGACACCGCTCGCCTGGGCGATGGAGCGGTGACGGGTCTCTATCACAGTCAGGGTGTCTACAAAGTCAGTGAGGGTGAGGTCTGCGGGATGAATGCTAAGAAAGCAGTCGTGGGCGACAGCAAGGCGGTCAGGGAGGCGGGTGGCAAGCAGGTAGAGGGTAGAGGTAATGGGCGGCTGGTGGGCTCTAAGCTGTGCATCAGTGCAGGCTGCGCGCCAGGTCTCATCTATCGAGCGCAGGTGGGCAGCGAGGTCAGAGACAGTGGGGAAAGATGCAAGGTCAGGAAAGAGCATCGGGAGGATCAGGCGACCTACCGAGGCAGCCGGAGGTGTGGAATAGCGCTGGATGACAGCATCTAAGTATGCCTGAGCAGTAGTGATAGATCGAAAGCGAGGGCGCTCTGACGGGGGAAGGGCGTTGCTAATGGCAAGCTGGGCGACAGCATCGCGAGAAAGCCAGACAGAGCGCGCACGGGCAGTGGCAGTAGTGGACTCGCGCTCAGTGGGTGTGGAGTCAGCGGGCAGAATAGCAGGGGGGTCTGGGCAGGGGAGCGTACCGTCAAGGTGTGCGGAAAGCGGTTCACCATCCTGCCGCTGGCCAGTGAGTTGGCGACGGAGGTCGGCAAGCCACGCCTCGAACTCCAGGGGCTGGCCTTCAGCATCGAAGCGAAGCTCCGCCGCCATCAGGAACAGTGCAGTGCGGTGCAGGGCAGTGCAGCAAGGTGGAGTGCGGTGCCGTGCGGTACAGGGCGGCGCAGTGCGGTGTAGGGCGGTTCAGTGCGGTGCCAGGCAGGACAGGGTGGTGCGGGGCAGTGCAGTGCGGGGCAGTACGGTGCAGGGCAGTGCAGGGCAGTGCGGGGCAGGGCAGTGCAGGGCAGTGCGGGGGGGGGGGGGGGAGGACCGTACCAGTGAGGAGGTCCGGGGCCGGGGCAGAGCAGGGGCCGGGCCGGTGCGACGGGGCCGGGCGGGCGCGACGGGGCCGGGCTGGTGCGACGGGGCCGGGCTGGTGCGACGGGGCTGGGCGGGTGCGACGGGGCCGGGCGGGCGCGATGGGGCCGTGCCGGTGCGACGGGGCCAGGCGAGCAGGACGGTGGCCCACGAGGGGCGCACCGGGGCTGGGCGGGCGCGACAGGGCCGGACGGGTGCGACGGGGCCGGGCGGGCGTGACGGGGCCGGGCTGGTGCGACGGGGCCGGGCAGGGGCGACGGGGCCTGAGGGCGTGACGGGGCCCAGGAGGGGCTCGACGTAGCCCAGGAGGGGCGCTACGGGGCCCAGGAGGGGCGCTACGGAGCCCAGGAGGGGCGCGACGGGGCCTGGGAGGGGCGCTACGGGGCCAAGGAGGGGCGCGACGGGGCCCAGGAGGGGCGCTACGGAGCCCAGGAGGGGCGCGACGGGGCCCAGGAGGGGCGCTACGGAGCCCAGGAGGGGCGCGACGGGGCCTGGGAGGGGCGCGACGGGGCCCAGGAGGGGCGCTACAGGGCCCAGGAGGGGCGCTACGGGGCCCAGGAGGGGGGCGACGGGGCCCAGGAGGGGCGCTACGGAGCCCAGGAGGGGCGCGACGGGGCCCAGGAGGGGCGCTACGGAGCCCAGGAGGGGCGCGACGGGGCCTGAGAGGGGCGCGACGGGTCCCAGGAGGGGCGCTACAGGGCCCAGGAAGGGCGCGACGGGGCCCAGGAGGGGCGCGACGGGGCCTGGGAGGGGCGCTACGGTGCCCAGGAAGGGGCGCGACGGGGCCTGGGAGGGGCGCTACGGGGCCCAGGAAGGGGCGCGGCGGGGATAGGGGGGGTCGCGGCGGGGCCAGGGGCACGACGGGGCTAGGGGGGGGGGGCGAGCGGAAGCGGTAGGTGGGGGGGGGGATCCTACCTACGCGTGATACCATATCATAATTGAAGAAGAGAATGATTGATAGAGTGAGAGTACAAACAGATATACCTAAGTGTTGTGCCCTCTAAGAGGCGACCCTATACAGTCTATACAAACATGACAAATACACATGTTTGACACCTTTTTCTTATTCTACGTGCAGTGGGTGTGAACCTGCTGAGTTTCTAAGGCTTTTGTTGGTGGCGTTGTGAAGTCTAATGTCGAGTAGAACTCCGCCTCACCATTGTTTGGTATAGAGTTCCTGCAATGGATTCCCTCCCTTACCACCTTGAACCGGGGAAGGACGGAAAATTGCCATGTAATGAGCCCCCTATTTTGGGTGCAAATGTTCCCAGTGAGGTAAGTATTCAGTTAGGAGTTGTCAAAGCACATTTATGGTGGATGGATGGTTTGGTTGGTCTAGTGTAGTACTTGCATTCAATATTGAGGTGCTAAAAGCAAGGTACACGACTAGAAAGAATTCTGTACTCCTTCCGCCCTTCTAACGAAGGCAGTGTCACCTACTGGTCCACCTCGAGATCTCCCACCTCACTCACAGGATTTTACCTACCTCCGTTGTGACAAATCGCCTTGCACATGATTGGTCGGATGGGGGGCTGGTGTACCGTTCCTGCTGTGGGAATTGCGCCTGCTTTGGGGCTTCCGCAAGCCTACTTTGGAACAGGCGCAATGCGCTGCTGCTCAGCTCTGTGCAGGGCCGTGGGGGAAGGGGGGATTGTCGGGGGACGGGCGCCCTGAGAAGAAGCCCTCGGAGTTTCTGGAAGCCGACAGGCGCAAAACTCGGCAAAGCAACTTCTGTGAAGGGCTTGTGGCCTGTTGGAGAGAGGAATTGTTGGCGGGCAATCCGCCCAGCGGAGACGCCCTTCCCCCACCAGCCAACCACGTCATCGGCGGGGTTTCATCAGTGTTGCCGCGACAGTCAGCGCTCCCCTCGCCTGGGTCGTGACATGACAGCCTCAGTGCTGGCTGGACTGGTCTGGGAGGGCTGGGATTGGCCAAGAGGAGGTGCGTGGATGCCCGGAAGGCTAGGGAAAGGTGAACCTGGATGCTGGTTGGCTGGTTGGTGGTACCAACCTCGCGGGGATTTCCCCGAGGCCCGAGTTGGTGAATGGATGGCGTGAAGTCACGGACAGGCGGACAACACTTCTGCGCTGCTTTGCGCCTCTTTTCTCCGCGCTGCGCTTCTCTGCTCTTTTCACATGTGCTGCTTTCCCTGTTTCAATTTTGGGTACAATCGATGCGTCGCCGTGACTTTTATGATTAGTGAAGAGCAAGCAGGGAGGCTTATCGCCTAGCTCCGCGAACCACCTTCCAGTTTGGTTCCTAGTTCCATCTATCCGTCACCTTAATGAATCTGGACCGGACCAGCCCCTGCCTAGCTCATAAAATGTGGGTCAACTTCGGGAGCGTTGAAATACGATAGATGTGGGTTAACTCCGTCAGCTTTAGAATACGCTTAGACAGGAGCTGGTTTAGACAGTAGTTATGAAGCGGCCCCTGTACCGTGGCACAGATTCGATAGCGTACACGCCGAGGAAGAGGCTTCAGGTTACCCGAATTGAAAGCGGTAACCAGCAGCAGCAGATTCATAGATTTTTCGCACGGCCATCGCAGGCTACTGACTCGCTAACAAGCTTTCGCCCTTCATCTCCTAGAACGGTCCTCTCGGCGATCTCACTAACCCTTTCGTGTAGTTCGTCGTCGTTAACGATAGAGTCAAATACCGAATCCAGCTTTCTCCAGGCGGAGCTGGAGGTGACTAGCCCGGCGATCGGCGCTGTCGCTGATAAGGGATGTAGCGTTCAGGAGTTCACAGATCTGAACATACGCGAGGAAGAAGGTGACTGTAGCGATCCTGCACGTGACTATACCGAGCGCCTGACGGTGTTGTCAGAAGGCACGGCGGCTATCGCCGTATCGACAAAGCGTGATAACAACGAGGGGGACGACCAAGGGATGTGGAAGGTAGCCAAGCGGCGCTGCGTGGCTTTCGATTGCGTCACGCTTCCCCCTCTTCCTTCGTTAGAAGCACCCCGGATGCAGCCCGACGTGCGGAAACTCGACATTCCCGATCCCCGGCGACCACCGCCAATCTCCACTGGTCGAAGCACCGCGAGCAGATCTCCCAGCCCCGTTCCTTACCCTTTAGCGACCCCTCTCACAAACCCCCTCACGACCCCTCTCATGGGCCCTCTCACGACTCCCCTCGCGACCCCTCAACCATGTCGCGCGTCCACCGAGCTCCCGAGTCCTCTCCCTGGTCCCGTCACGCGCTTTAAACGGCAGCGGCCGCCGACTCTAGACATTCCTAGGAAAGGCTGCTTCACGTCGTCGCCGGCCGGCACGCCGGATTCGGCGGCGGAGGATGCGCTGGATGGCGTGGTGGAGGTGGCGGAGAGCGGCGCGGGCTTCGCCGTGGCGTGCAAGCGCGGGCGGAAGCCCGTCATGGAGGACACGTACCAGGCGCTGGTGGGATTCGGAGGGCGGGAGAGCGATGTAAGTGCGAGGGTCTGGGTTGTCAGCATATGCGTGTCTTGGGTCTACGCGTCCTGCGTCTGCATGTCGCACCTACGGCCTACCATTAGAGCACATGCGGCGTTTCATCGCTCATTGCTTCTGCTCTCAGCTTCTGTCTTCTTGTGCCAAGAGGGCCCGGGCAGTCGCAGCCGCCTCTGTCTGACAACCGTTGCGTGTCCAATAACCCCCCTGCCTTGTGTCTGGCACCCACCCCTCTGCACCGCTCTTTGCCGCTCTGCAGGCGTTCTTCGGCGTGTTCGATGGCCATGGCGGCACTGCAGCCGCCAAGTTCGCAGCATCGGAGCTGGCCAGTCACGTGGCGGCGGCGGCCAGGCGCAGAGGCGGGCAGGCGAGTGAGGCTGCTCTGGAGGAGGGGTACCTGGAGACGGACAGACGGTTCCTGGATCAGGTACGTGGCGGGCGCCTGAGATGTCTTCTTTCTTGCGTACATGCGTGTGCAACGGTGGCTAGATTTCTTGTTCCTTTCCGCCCTTAGCCATGTCTTGCCAATGCCCTGTGTTCCTTGCCCATCTCCTCTGCAGGGTCGTCTTGTTCTTCCCCACCTCACCCCTCTCCCTTCGTCCCTCCATTGCCCCTCCTTTTCATACCCCTGCAGAACGTCTCTAGTGGCACCAGCTGCCTCAACTGCTGGGCCACGCCTGGGCGGCTGTTCCTGGCACATGCGGGCGACTGCAGGGCAGTGCTGGTGAAAGGTGGGAAGGGCGTGCCGCTGACAGAGGACCACCGGGCGACCAGGGAGGACGAGCAGACCCGCATTGCCCGCCTGGTAGGTCCTAGGTCCTTTGAACCGAGGCGCCTCAAAGATCCCCGGCTGTGGATTTATCAGCCTTTATTAGCTTCCTCTCTGGGACAAGTCCACGGGTGCCTCTTTTTTTTTTTTTTTTTTTTTTTTTACTCATCCATGTGCTTCCTTGATTATCTCTCCCCTCTCCCACCCGTCTCCACTGCCACAGGGTGGCTTCGTCGACACGGCCACCGGCATGCCGCGAGTGCAGGGCATTCTGGCCGTCACGCGCGGCATAGGCGACGCGCACCTCAAGGCGTTCATAACGCCCCAGCCTGACGTGGCGCAGGTGCCTGTGGGCAGGGACTGCAGCGCGCTCATCCTGGCGTCTGACGGGCTGTGGGATGTGGTGCCGACCCAAGAGGCAGCGGACGTGGTCACAGCATGCATCACTGCAGCGCTGGCAGCACCGCCTGCGCTGTCAGAACCACCTGCTTCTGTGTCCCCGCCATGCAAGCGGGCTCGCAAGCAGGTTTCCCGCGGGTGGTCTGCTGAGCTGGCACAGGAGAGGGGGAGAGAGATGGAGAGGGAGACGGAATTCAGGATGCCGTATCATAGCCCCCTTGGCACACCGCCCTGCACACCACGCTCACACACCACCGCCACCACCACCCCTCCTTGCACTCCCCATTCACGTGCCACCACCACCCCCCTTTGCACTCCCCACCCACGTGTCACCACCACCAGCACCAACACCAGGACCCCTGCCATGCCTCGCCGTCACCTCTCCCCCAGCAGCAGCCAGCGCAGCGGCAACATCTTCCTCTCTCCGCGCTCAAGAGCTCCTCCTCCCTTCGCCCCTCCATGGCTCGACACACCTTTTGAGGATAACGCATCCGTGGGGGCAAACGCTGTAGCAGTGAGTCCACAGGAGGAGACTGTAGCAGCTGGGGGCTCACATACTGTAGCAGCGATACAGCAAGGGAGTGTAGCAGCTGTGGTACCAAGTCAAGAAGCGTCAGACAGTGGTGTGAGACGGAAGGCTGAAGGAATTCTGCCCTGTGAGATGGCGAGAGGAGGTGAAGGAGTAATGAGAGCGGTAGATGGAGAGGTGTTGCTGAGAGCGTGCGAGGCACTGGTTGGCATGGCAGCGACAAGGGGAAGCAGGGATGATATCACTGTCATGCTGGTGTCACTTGCTCCTTTTGCTGAGTCAGCATCATAGGTTGCTCACTCAAAAGAGAATCTGGGCTGATGGTGATACCTGCACCAGCTGGAAGAGCTGATGTAACAAGATGTGCACTTAACAGACACCGAGTAGATGTTCAGTGTACGCGAAATTGGAATGCTCTCCACCTGAAGGGATGCAGTGTAACAAGAGTGCCAGTTTACGTGAAGTGCCTCACAATGCCCCCCAAGGAGCTGCTTCTCAGAGTGGCAAAGTAAACTAAGCAAGGGCATGCAGGTATATTGTAAAATATGAGTTGTGGGTTGTATTTGTCAACTTATCCATATTATCTATGTAGAAGTTATAGGCTAGACTGAGGTATGCTTCTAGTGAGTACAACCAACTAGTATTTGTTCTAGGTTTCCACCTCTAGTCATCATTCGTTCTCACTTTGACATGGTATCACGCGTAGGTTAGCATCCCCCACCTACCGCTTCCGCCCGTACCCTAGCTAGGCCACGTCGCGCCTCCTAGCCCCGTCGCGCCTCCTAGCCACGTCGCCCCCCCCCCCTCCTGGGCCACGTCGCGCCACCCTAGCCCCGTCGCGCCACCCTAGCCCCGTCGCGCCCCTCCTGGGCCCCGTCGCGCCACCCTAGCCCCGTCGCGCCACCCTAGCCCCGTCGCGCCCTGCCTGGCCTCGTCGCGCCCTGCCTGGCTCCGTCGCGCCCTGCCTGGCTTCGTCGCGCCCGCCTGGCCCCGTCACGCCCTGCCTGGCCCCGTCGCGCCCTGCCTGGCCCCGTCGCGCCCTGCCTGACCCCGTCGCGCCCGCTCGGCCCCGTCGCGCCCTGCCTGGCTCCGTCGCGCCCGCCTGGCCCCGTCGCGCCCTGCCTAGCCCCGTCGCGCCCTGCCTGGCCCCGTCGGGCCCGCTCGGCCCCGTCGCGCCCTGCCTGGCTCCGTCGCGACCGCCTGGCCCCGTCGTGCCCTGCCTAGCCCCGTCGCGCCCTGCCTGGCCCCGTCGCGCCCGCTCGGCCCCGTCGCGCCCTGCCTGGCTCCGTCGCGCCCGCCTGGCCCCGTCGCGCCCTGCCTAGCCCCGTCGCGCCCTGCCTGGCCCCGTCGCGCCCGCTCGGCCCCGTCGCGCCCTGCCTGGCTCCGTCGCGCCCGCCTGGCCCCGTCGCGCCCTGCCTAGCCCCGTCGCGCCCTGCCTGGCCCCGTCGCGCCTGCCTGGCCCCGCCGCGCCTCCCTGGCCCTGCCGCGCCTGCCTGGCCCCACCGCGCCTGCCTGGCCCCGTCGCGCCCTGCCTGGCCCCGTCGCGCCTGCCTGGCCCCGTCGCGCCCTGCCTGGCCCCGCCGCACCTGCCTGGCCCTGCCGCGCCTGCCTGGCCCCCGCCGCGCCTCCCTGGCCCCGCCGCGCCTGCCTGGCCCCGCCGCGCCTCCCTGGCCCCGCCGCGCCTGCCTGGCCCCGCCGCGCCTGCCTGGCCCCGTCGCGCCCTGCCTGGCCCCGTCGCGCCTGCCTGGCCCCGTCGCGCCTGCCTGGCCCCGCCGCACCTGCCTGGCCCTGCCGCGCCTGCCTGGCCCCCGCCGCGCCTCCCTGGCCCCGCCGCGCCTGCCTGGCCCCGCCGCGCCTCCCTGGCCCCGCCGCGCCTGCCTGGCCCCGCCGCGCCTGCCTGGCCTCGCCGTGCCTTCCTGGCCCCGCCAGCACCTGCCTGGCCCCACCGCACCTGCCTGGCCCCTTCGCCCCGGCTCGTCCTGCCGTGCCGCCTCGGGCTCCGTCTCCGCTGCTCGCCCGTGCTGAGGCGCTTCGCGGCCGCCGTGCTGGAGGGGGCTGTCGCTGTGTTCCTGTGGAGCTGTGCCGCTGACCCTGCACGATGGCGGACTTCGTGCTCCGACTGGACGCCGAGGGCCATGCGGTTGACTTCGCCGCCTGGCTCTCCGATCTCCGCCGCCACCTTACAGGTCAGCGCCAGGATGGCCACTCTTTGGTTGTCCATGTCGACGGCTTGCTCCCCCGCCCCCCGCACCTGCTCCCCTCCCTGCTGATCCCTCCTCTGATGACCGTGAGACCTTCTCTACTGCTGCGCTTGCCCGTGCGGTCTGGGACTCCCGCGATGCAGTCGCTCAGGTTGCCATTAGCCACGCCCTCCCTGTCTCTGAGCGCTCGCGTTTTGCTACTATTGAGACGGCCAAAGCTTACTTAGACGCTGTTATTGCCTGCTATTCCACACCCGCGTCTGCTTCTGCTGGTCGCCTGCTCTTCCCTATGCTTTTCCCAGACCTTGCAGCTTTCCCTACCGTCACAGACTTTGCCACTCACCTGCGTGCCCTAGAGACCCGCTATCGCACTGCCAGCACTGCCGCCCAGCTCACTGCGCTCCCCCCCCCTTTCTGTATGACGCTCTATTTTATCGCCATGCGCCTGCCAGACCGCCTCGCTAGTGCTCGCGATCACTTTCTTAGCCAGCACCCGGGTGACCTCACTCTCACTGCCTTTGTCGACACCCTCACCGAGATCGAGACTCGCCAGCGCACTATCGCTCAGTCGAGCGGTGCGCCGGCAGTTTCTATCTTTCATGGTTGTCCCCCCTCTCAGTGTGCGTTCACTGACGTTTCGGCTGCGGTCGCCTCGGCGGCCCCTCTCACCGAGTCGGCTGGTGCGGTCCACCCGCAGCAGCGCTCGCGCCGCGGTGGCCGTGGTCGCCAGGGGGGTAGGGGTGGTGGTGGCAGTAGTGGTGGTGACGGTAGTCCGCCTGCGGGGACTACCACTGGTGGGCAGGAGCAGCAGCCCCAGCCGCAGAAGGAGCAGCCCCAGCCGCAGCCGCCGCCCCAGCAGCAGTTACCGTCCCAGCAGCAGTCGCCGCAGCAGTGGGCCCGTCTCCCGCCTGGTTGGCCCGGCACCTCCGGAGGTAGTGGCCGTGGTGGCGGCCCGCGCAGCTTGGCATCTACCGGCGGCTCCGGTGCTGTCACCTGCCAGTACCAGCTTCAGACCGGGCCTCTTCGCGGCACTCTGTGCCGCCGCCCGCACCCGACCGCCCGCTGTTTCCGCCGCCTCGACGATCTCTTTCGTCGTCGCTTTGGCCCGGCCCCGGACCTCCCCGACTGGCACAACCTGCTCCGCCAGGGCGTGCCGATCTTTGAGTTAGACATGGATCAGCTAGGTGCTGCTTTGCATGCTTTGTATTCTGACACTTCTAGTTTTGCTGGATCTTATTACCCTGTGTACTCTAGTTTAGGTGTTGCACCACTGTGTAGCTTAGCCTCCCCTGCTGCGTCAGGCGTAGGACTGCTTAGGTTGCCTAGTCTAGTCGCTACACCGGCTCCGTCCCCGGCCTCCGCCACTGCGTCGCTGTCCTTCACTCTCGACTCCGGTGCTTCTGCCTGCTTCTTCCGCGACCGTTCCACGCTCACGCCGCTTGCTGCACCTGCTGTTGTCTCTCTCGCTGACCCCTCTGCGGGTCCGGTCGTCGCGCGCAGTTCTACGTCCCTTCCCTGTCCGGCAGTTCCCTCGGGCTCCCTTACTGGCCTCCACGTTCCCTCGTTCTCCAGGAACCTGGTTGGTGTCGGCTGTCTCCAGGACCTCGGCGTCACCACCACGTTCCCCGGGCACGAGCGGTTCGCTGTCTGTTCTGAGGCTGTCTCAGGTTCCCCCCTTGCGACGTTCCCCGGGGACCCGGTGTCCGGTCTGTTGACCCTAGACACCGCTTCCCCCTCGGTTGGTGCGTCCTCCCAGGTCGCTGCAGCTTGCTCGTGTCGGTCCCTCACTCACCCCTCCCTTCTCTGGCACCACCGCTTAGGTCACCCTGCTCTCCCGCGTCTGCGTCACATGTCCCAGCACGGTCTTGTCTTAGGTCTCCCTGCGTCGCTCCCTGCCCTTCCTCCCTCGACTGCGCCACCGTGCACGCCTTGCGTGGAGGGTCGGCTTCGCCGTGCTCCTCACTCCTCCTCGCTGCGTCCTGCTACTGCCCCCCTTCAGACCCTGCACTTGGACGTTTGGGGCCCTGCCCCCGTCCCCGGACCGCGCGGTGAGCGCTACTTCCTTGTGCTCGTCGACGACTACACGCGCTACACCACGGTGTTTTCCCTGGAGCGGAAGGCCGACGTGCCCGACGTTCTTCTCCCGTGGGTTGTGGCTGCGCGTCTCCACCGCGGTCTCCCCGTGTTGTGTCTCCACTCCGACCGTGGCGGCGAGTTCGCCTCTGGTCGGCTTGGACAGTTCTGTCGTGCGGAGGGCATCACCCAGTCGTACACGTTGCCGGACTCGCCACAGCAGAATGGGGTTGCTGAGCGCCGCATCGGCTTGGTCATGGAGGTCGCCCGTACCTCCATGATCCATGCCGATGCCCCCCATTTTTTGTGGCCGTTCGCTGTTCGCTACGCTGCTCACCAGCTTAACCTGTGGCCACGCTCCCAGCGGCCGCAGGTTTCGCCGACCCTCCTTTGGACCGGGTCCCCGGGTGACGCGTCTGCGTTCCACGTCTGGGGCTGCCTTGCTCACGTTCGTGCCTCTGGCACGGACAAGCTCACTGCCCGCACTGTCCCCTGTGTCTTCCTCGGTTTCCCCCTGGACTCGTCTGACTGGCTTTTCTACCACCCGCCGTCTCACCGCTTCCTCCACTCTCGTGACGTCACATTTGACGAGTCCGTCTCCTTCTACCGCCGCTTCCCTCACCGAGGTCTCCCAGTTGCCCCCCCCCTGTTCCTTGCTCCCTCTCCCTCGGTAGCCCCTGCCCCTCTCCCGCCTCGTCCTGCCCCGTCTGGTGTCTCCCACGTCACTCCCCTCCCGTCGGTTGTCCCCGTTGAGGAGTCTGCTGACTCTGGTGGTACCCCCGGTCCGTCCTTGCCGCGTCCCCCTTCCCCGGTGCCTCCGCCCCCACTGTCGCAGTCGCCGACCCCGCTGCCGCCGCCGTCGCCGTCGCTGCCGCAGCCGTCGCCGCTGTCGCAGCCGCCGCAGCCGTTGCCGCCACTGCCGCCGCCGCTCTTGGCCCCTGGGGGTGCTGGTGTGGAGGAGGGTGTTCGTCCTGCGGCTTCTGGGGGTGCCGCTGGTGTTGGAGGGGGTTCTCGCTCTGGGGGTGTTGGTTCTGGGGGTGCTGCTGTTGAGTGTTCTGCCGACGGTCGTTCTGCCTCTGCTGGTCCGAGAGTTCCGGCCCAGCCGTCGTCGCCGCCGCAGCAGCCGTCGCCGCCGGTTTCCGCTCTCCGCCTGCTCGGCCTTCCCTCACCGGACCGCGCGCCGGTGTCTCCCCCACCGCCTGCTGACCTCCCTGTCTACGGTCCTGTGTTCCCGCCGCCGGACTCGTCTCCGGCCCGTCTTCCTTCTCGTTCCCCTCCTGTGTCTCCTCCGCTGTCCCCTGACCCTACCCCTCCGTCTCACGTTTGGGCTCGCCGTCCCCCCCGTGCTCGTCCCGTCTCTCCTGTCCTGCCCACCCACCCTATGTTGCTCCGTTCCCGCTCGTCTCGTCCTCCCCTCCTCCCGTCCCCTCCTCCCTCGTCCCTTGCTGTTGCACCTCCTCCGTTCTCTGACTACCTCCGTGCTTCTCGTCCCCTTGTCCCTCGGGTCCTTGCCTCTCTTGTTAGCGACCCTGCTGTTCCTGTCTCGCGCCTTGACGCGCTTGTCGCCGTTGTCGCTGACTTCGCTTCTACCCGCCGCCTTGACTACGCTACTGCTCTGGTCTCTGACCCTGCCCGTCCTCTGTCCGTCGGGGGTGCTCCTGCCCTTGGCAGTGACGTCCTAGAGGACAGGCAGTACGAGCTGGCTTTCCTTTCCGAGGCTGCTCCCCATCTCTGCTCCATGCTCCTAGTCCCTGAGGGTGACCCAGACGCCTTCGACATCCCGACCCCTCGCACCTACGCTGAGGCCACCTCGGGACCTTGGGCCTCTCAGTGGATAGCTGCCATGGAGCAGGAGATGGCATCTTGGAGGTCCACCGGCACTTACGTCGACGCAGTTCCCCCGCTTGGGGTGAACGTAGTCGATGGTCGGTGGCTCTTCAAGGTGAAGCGCCCCCCTGGAGAGCCGCCTGTCTTCAAGGCGCGCTACGTGGCCAGAGGTTTCAGTCAGCGCGAGGGGGTTGACTTCTTCCAGACCTTCGCCCCGACCCCGAAGATGACCACTCTTCGGGCGCTGCTACACGTAGCAGCACAGCGTGACTACGAGCTTCACTCCCTCGACTTCTCTACTGCCTTTCTTCAGGGCAGCCTACACGAGCAGGTCTACCTGCGCCGACCACAGGGCTTCACTGGTACCTTCCCTCCTGGGACCCAGTGGCTTCTCAGGCGCCCGGTCTACGGCCTGCGTCAGGCTCCCCGCGAGTGGCACGACACGCTACGTGCCACGTTAGCAGACCTGCAGTTCTTTCCGTCCTCTGCTGACCCTTCACTGTTTGTGCGTTCCGGCCGGACTCCGTTCTACATCCTTGTCTACGTAGACGACCTGGTCTTCGCTACTCCTGACAGGGACGCACTGGCCTCTGTGAAGGCTGAGCTGCTGAAGAGACACACGTGCACTGACCTTGGAGAGCTGCGTCGCTATCTTGGCCTGCAGATCTCTAGGGACAGAGCAGCACGCACCATCACTCTGACCCAGTCACACTTGGTGCGTCAGGTCCTTCAGAGGTTCGGTCTTCAGTTCTCCTCCGCACAGCCCACACCTCTACCCGTAGACCATGGGCTCTCTGCTCCCGTTCCTGAGGAGCCAGTAGAGCCCAGTGGCCCCTACGCAGAGCTGGTGGGTTGCCTCATGTACCTGATGACTTGCACGCGCCCAGATCTCGCATACCCTCTCAGCATCCTGGCTCGCTTTGTGGCTACAGGCAGACACCGACCTCAGCACTGGTCTGCCGCTAAGAGGGTTTTGCGTTATCTTGCTAGTACATCGGGCATGGGGTTAGTGCTAGGAGGACGCAGGCCAGTGGTCCTTACTGGGCACACAGACGCTTCTTGGGCAGACGACGCTGAGACGCTCAGGTCGTCGCAGGGCTACTGTTTCAGCCTTGGTTCGGGTGCTATCTCTTGGAGATCCACTCGCTCGTCGTCTGTGGCTCAGTCTAGCTGTGAGGCTGAGATCTACGCTGGTGCCATGGCGGCACAGGAGCTCCGCTGGCTGACCTTCTTGCTCACAGACTTAGGTGAGCGGCCTAGCTCTGCCCCGGTCCTGTACGCTGACAACAGGGCCATGATACTCCTGTGTCAGGAGCCTCGGCTTGAGGGCAGAGCGAAGCATATCCAGCTGCGGTACTTTCTCCTGCGCGAGCTACAGCAGCGCCGCCAGGCCCGCGTAGTTCACTTGGCCTCAGGTGCCAACACAGCTGATATCTTTACTAAGGCGCTTGCGCCTAAAGATCATCAGCGGCACTGTGTACAGCTTGGTCTTGTTCCTGTAGCTTCTCCCCTGTTAGGATCCTGATTGTGTACTCTCTATTATATATGCTTGTCAGACTGGCCTTGTGGCCTTACCTCCAGTGGCTGGACTAGTAGTGCCACCCTGGCTTGCTTCAGTTTTGGTTGTATTCTTGCTGACTGGTCTCCGGACCCCTGCCTCAGTGGTTGGACTAGTAGTGCCGCCCTGAGCTGTTTGTTTCTTGTTTAGTTTCACCCCTTGTCTAGCCTAGGGGGTGTGTCAAATTATACATATTATCTATGTAGAAGTTATAGGCTAGACTGAGGTATGCTTCTAGTGAGTACAACCAACTAGTATTTGTTCTAGGTTTCCACCTCTAGTCATCATTCGTTCTCACTTTGACAGTATTCTCGTGGCCAGTCCTGGGGGTGGCGCGGGGGCTGGAGAGGGTTCTAGTTCTGGGGGTGTTACTCCTTGGGGTGCTGTAGTGGAGAGTCCCGGGGGTAGTTGTGGTCCGGCTGGAGGTCCTGGTGGGGGCGGAGCAGCAGCAGCAGTCGCCACCAGTTTCCGCCCTTCGCCTTCTCGGTCTCCCCTCCCCCGACCAACCGCCAGCGCCTCCCCCAGCGCCGCCTCCTCCTCCTGCCTACGGTCCTGTGTTTCCTCCGCCGGACTCGTCCCCAGCTCGTTTCCCCCCTCGTTCTCCTCCTATGTCTCCTCCGTTGTCTCCCGACCCTACACCCCCCTCTCGCTGGTAGTCTCGCCGCCCCTCTCGTGCTCGCCCCGTCTCTCCCGCTCCGAATGTTCAAGCTATGTCTCTCCGTTCTCACGCGTCTCATGCTCCCCCCCTCCTCTTCTCCTCGTCTCCTTCTGACTTCCTTCGTGTTGCTCGCCCTCTTGTTCCTCGTGTCCTCGCCTCTCTTGTTACCGACCCGTCCGTTCCTGTCTCCAGTCTCGACGCTCTTGTCGCTGCCGTTGCTAACTTTGCCTCCACCCGCCGCCTTGACTACGCCACTGCTCTAATCTCTGACCCTGCCCGTCCTCAATCCGCCGGGGTTGCACATGTCCTTGGCAGTGACCAGGGCTTAAAGCTCCTGGCTATAATAGCAGAACTGGAAACCACTTGAATTTGGTGCTTTGAAATCCGTCCAAGTATAGAATGGAAGGCAGCTTTGAGTTCCAAGCCTGAACAACAAAAGTGTGTAGAAACAAATTCTGGTCGAGCTTGCTGATTGGAGGAATGGCGAAAGAACTCGTTTTGCTGTTTGTTGCGACACGATCATTTGGATGCGAATTGCGCAAAAGTACTGTGTGCATCGCAAGGAGTTTCTACGACGAGTTTGGGCGAGCAGCTTGCGACGAGGAAATACAGGCGCATTATGAGTGGGGTGGGGAATTCAAGTGATTTCCAGGTCAGCAATTCCGGAATCAGCTACTGTTCGCCAAAAAAACACTGTTCTTCTTGTATTTTCACTGTTCACGGAACCACGAATTCGGTCGCACGACGCGTATTGCACTGTTCACCGAATGGTTTCGTGCAAAAACTGTCGCCAAACCGCCACGGTCAGATTCTGCTTTGCAAAACGAAATGTTTTTATTCTGTTTCGTTTACTCTAAAGATCAAGTCATGTGCCAAGTTCAAGAGCAAATTAAACAGCCCTCTTGATTGCTATTATAGCCACGGGCTTTAAAACCACAGGCTAGAATAGCAAAAGGGGGGCGCACTTGAAAGTTGAGTTGTTTTTGCGGTCAGAGAAAAGATCCAACTTCCACTGGTACACTTTCCCGGGCTTGAAAAAACAAATGTTGCGAACTTGCAGCCCACACTGACGATACAAAACGGATCGTACCCTTAGAAAGGAACACGACGCGACCACCAGTCACAGCCCATGGTTTCAAGTGAGCCCCGGGTGTGCTTCTAAACTTCAGACGTAGGCTATTCTTACACGTAGACTAACTTAGGAAGCCACAGCGGTCTCGACACCTATTTCTAAAAAACAGTCGCTGGTTTAGCGGGGCAAGAACAGTCCCCCCTACGTGTAGTAGATTTTAGTTTCGTAAAAAAACAGCAGAAATGTTGTGCTGATGGTAAGAAGAGAGGGGAACGAGTTGGGATGACGAGTTAGGCCGACAAGCTAGGCTTGACGAGATAGGCACGACGAGATAGATAAACGACTTAGGCACTATGAAATAGGTCAGCGAGTAAGGCTTGTCGAGACAGATAAACGAGTCAGGCTCGACGAGATAGGCTCGACATAGGCTTGATGAGATATAGCTAGGCTCGACGAGTTAGGAGTTTCAGCCAGCATCGTAGAGTGAACTCCGTTAAGACGGCAGACTTGTCGCCTCACAAAGAGGTACGCGGCATATGGAAAGTGATATGCGAACTGGGGGAAAGGTGAGGCCGGAATGGGGGAACGGGGTATGCGGATGGGGGAAAGGTGAGGTCGGAATGGGGGAACGGGGTAGGCGGATGGGGGAAAGGTGAGGTCGGAATGGGGGAACGGGGTAGGCGGATGGGGGAAAGGCGAGGTCGGAATGGGGGAATGAGGTAGGCGGATGGGGGAAAAGGGTAGTCGGAATGGGGAAACGGGGTAGGCGGATGGGGGAAGGGGGCAGTCGGAATGGGGGAGCGGGGTAGGCAGGTGGGGGAAAGGGGTAGTCGGAATGGGGAAACGGGGTACGCGGATAGGGGAAAGGGGTAGTCGGAATGGGTGAACGGGGTAGGGAGGCAGGGAGATAGGGGAGACACGGAGATAGGGGAGGCAGGGAGATAGGGGAGACAGGGAGATAGGGGAGACAGAGGGGGGGCTGGGAGATAGGACCAGCCTTGTATCCCCCCACATTCCTGTATATCCCACCCACCCGTCCTGTCACTCCCCCTCCAGTTCTCCGCACACAACACCCTTTCCCAAATCTCCCCCCAGTTCCACACCTCTCTCCTCCTATCCCTCTTAGAGGGGAAATAAAGGGTACGGGGAGGGGGTACAAGGGGAAAGGAGGAGGGGTACAAGGGGAAAGTGGAGGGGGTACAGGGGCAAAGAGTGGGGGTACAAGGGGAAAGCTTAGGGGGTACAAGGGCAAGGAGTGGGGGTTACAAGGGGAAAGCGGAGGAGGTACAGGGGCAAGGAGAGGGAGTACAAGGGGAAAGCAGAGGGGGTATAGGGGCAAGGAGAGGGGGTACAGGCGGAAAGCAGAGGGGTACACGGGCAAGGAGTGTGGGTACAAGGGGAAAGTAGAGGGGGTACAGGGGCAAGGAGTGGGGGTACAAGGGGAAAGCGGAGGGGTACAGGGGCAAGGAGTGTGGGTACAAGGGGAAAGCAGAGGGGGTACAGGGGCAAGGAGTGGGGGTACAAGGGAAAAGGAGTGGGTCAGGCTTGTTGTTTCCCACTTCCTGTCCCCTCCCACGCCTCTAGATTCCCTGCTCTCAGCAGGAATCACCCCCTCTCAATCTCTGCGCCCCCTACAGTCATCTCACCATTCTTTTGCTCTATCCCTTTGTCTCAAGCCCCACCCCCCTTCCCCTTTTATCCAAACTCTCTCCTATCCCTCACTCCCTTGTCCCTCCACTCTCTCATGTGCCTCCATTCTTCTCGCTCCCCGCTGTTCCCCCCCTCTATGCTGTACCCCGACTCTCTCATGTACGCCCGCGCTCTGCTGTACCCTCGCTCTCGCTTTCTACTCGTCACCCACCATTTACCCCCCATCCTTTTCTCCCCCCTTTTCCCAACCCAAAATGGCACCCGTACGTTGCAGTTTTGGAACTCAGGGTAGGTAAGTCAGGTAGCCAAGAGTGTGCAAGTGCAAGTATGTTTTAGTCAAGTCAATTGTATTAATTTGCAACCTTCAGTGAAAACTAACAATGCAACGTTTTACAACAATTAGCATTGTTGTGTTTTCCTTGTTTCAACCATGCTCAAGGTTGTTATTCTCATGACCCATATTATGAAGAATACAGCTGCGTATGTGTTTATTAACATTTTCCATTGTGAGTTACGCTGTATTGGATTCGGTCTTATGGCGCGTACCGTTGGGCGCTTGAAATCTCCTGGTGTCAGCACGTTCGCACTTGGCTGTGTTTGCTGTGTTTGCTGCAGCTCATATCGCTCCAAGTTGTGCCATAGCCATGTAAGCTTACATTTTCGAGAGGGTTGAAGAGGTACACTTCAACAAAAGAAACACGCCCTAGTTGCAGCTTTCATTTTCGGTCGGAACTGTCGCGCGTGGATTTTGGGGCCTCGTCGCACGCGTTCCAAAATCGCCCAACCTCAAGCAGGCGTGGATTATGGTGGGCTCATTTCTGCCCTGTTGCCCAAAAATTTCCCTATCGATTTCACTCTAGCAACCCAAATTTTTCAAGAGTGCCCCCACTTCCGAAGGGGCTCACTTGAAGCCCCCCTTTTCTATTTTAGCCTATGGTTTTAACATTCTTTTAGGGGTACCCTGATTTATCAGCCACCCCCCCCTACTTATCCCTGATGTGTCAGTGTTGGTTGGAAAAAAATAGTTGTTTCTTCAGTATTGGCGGGGAAGAAAACTCTGATCATTCAGTGTTTATTCGGAAATCTACGCTGAGCTGAATAAAGGACATTTTGGAAACCACAATCACACATCCACACGGCGCTCCATGGATGCTGCTGCTATCTATTCCAACTCTCCCTCAGCATTCACATCCTCGTCCACTTTCTCTTTTCCCTTCTTGCTCGGTGCGCTCACTTTCACAGTGCCGAAGGGGCGCCTCTTCTTATACGCATGCTAGATCTCTACTACAGCGTCCCAGTCCGGCTCATAGTCTAACAAGGACAAGGACAAGCACATGAGATCACCTAGCCTAGTGTCATTCGGGCTATTCCTCCGCCAGTTCTTAATCACGTTTTGGCGGGAGAATTCGCGTTCACACTCAACGGTGCTCAGAGGCAGCACCGCCACAGCCACCCACAGACCCACAAGGTTGGGATAGTGGTCCTTCAAGCCAGCGGTCTTAAGCACAAATGACAAGGCATCATGAAACTTCTTGTCGCTCTTTGGGAGACGAGCAAGCATGGGGGCAAAGTGTCGCAGCTCTTCATCGCCTTGCATTTGTCAATGCCTGAAACACATTTAGATACGGATGATTAGGGATGATGAGTTTGTTGCTAGGCTGGAAAAATGAGAAAGCAAGCAAGGAACGAAGGCATAAAGCAATAGGTTAAAAAGAATTGCACTTGGCAGAATTTTGTCGGCATACTTCGCGCGGTACAGAGTGACGAGTGATTGGAACCACTCGACACACTGAGCCAACCTTGCTTCTCGCTCCCATTTCTCTGGCCACTGGTCGGCGGAGAAAAGGCGAACGCTGCTCAAGGATTCCAAGTCTCCAAGACGCTCCTGCAGGTTCCTGGCCATGTCTTCGGCAACCTCGGTGCACACGTCGACGCAGGCGTTATGTGTTTCCTGTCCTGGATAGTCGTCCAGTTCGTTGAAATGAAGCCTTACAATGAAGCGAGCAGGGCGGCCATCAGAGTCCGCGTCCTCAACAATGATGTTAGGCAAACCGCCCCGGACGTGACGGGTGATGAACTGCACGAGCCGGGTATTATCGCCGCCTCCGAAGTTGTCGCCGCAGTCGATGTACCGGCTCTCGATTTGGCCGGTCGTGTGCGCGATTTGCTGCTGGACGCTCGTGTAGTCCAGTTGTAGGAAATAGGGATGGGGAGACAGGTGAGTAGAGGAGGCAAGAGAACACAGTAAGCCGAAGCACAACTACTAAACTCTCGTTGCTGAAAGGTCTTGTTCAAGATGTTCAACTGCTCAAGAATATCAGCCAGAAGAAAGTTCAGGAAGAACCAGAAGCGATAGCTCGTGACGATGGCGTATACAGTAACTTGGAGTTGCGGACACGGAACTCATACAGCATGACGACCACGGCAACGAGAACAGCAAGGAGACGGAGGATAACCTCACCGTGTGAGAGCCACCTAATGGCGTGAATACCCTGGAGCTCTAGGTTGGTTGAGGTAAAGAGCTCGTGAAGGTCGAGGAAGCGCTGGTGCCAAGGCCGCGATCACCCGAGAAGCTCGGCGAGCTGGCGGATGAGATCATCCACAATGGAGAGTGCAAGGATGTTCTCCGCTGTCGCCTTGACAGCCAGTGCCTCCCTGCATACACAAAAGAACAAAAATATAAGTATCGGTTCATAGATACAGTGTGCAAAAATAGGTGTGGAAAAACTTACCGATGTGCGATGCAGTGGCATGACACCTGGTGGGGAATGTGGATGCGCAAGCGCGCTACAAGCCCCCCCTTGGCGACCATCATCACAACAACGCCGTTGGTGCTGATGCCTGAAATCCGACGGAGGTCAACCCCAATGGCATGGATGTGGGAGAGGAGGAGGGCAAGAAGCGATGTGGCATCAGCCTTCTCGACTGTCAGCAAGGTGAGGAACTCAGTCACAAGTCGCCCTTGTGTGAGAGGATGAGGCTTGATCCTTGATCACAACCATTTGCTATTTCCTATTTATTGTTTGTTATTTTTTTTGTATTTTTCCTTTCCTAGAAATCCCTGCACTCTTTCTTACACATTTATATATTTCATATATATCAATTGTGTTGCGGAGTGTTTCAGACTTTCCTTGCGTGACACGTTTTCCATTGCGTTGACTGTTCCGTCACCGTCATCGTATCTCTAGAATCCTTACCGTGCTTCTAGGTGGTGTTCCTATGGACGGTTCCATTCATTTATGGAACTCTCTTAGAAGGTTCTAGTAACCCTTCCCTAGAGTTCTCGTAGGTATAAATAGCATTGACTCCTTGCTTGTAGACATTCAATTCTTGATTGGTATCATTCATGCTTCCGTAGTCCTGGACCTATAACACTTGGTAATCAGAGCACAAGGTTTCCGATCAACGCTTACCCGCTGGGCCTCCAGGAGCACGCCGATGATGAAGTCCAACTTTTCAATCGCGTACGTAATATCGATTTTTTCTTACTAAGTTATGACTAACCTCGAGCAGTTGCACATAGGGTCCCCATCGATGGCGAGCAGCATCGCCTACCGTTCGATCATCAACATTGATGGAGCCGATTTTTCGGGGGGAGGGCATACGTCCGCGACACTCGCCAATGCCAAGATATCCCCGAAGTACCTGCATTAAAATAAGGTTTATTTTCTGCCCTCCGAAGCGATCGACGGAAGCTGGTGGGAACTTACCCTGCGGCGTTTTCCAAGAATTTCCAACTTTTGCCACGAATCTTGGAGTTGCGCAAGCAACGATCTACGACTGCCGTCCGATTCTAATTCGACGCTTCAGATCGTCCGAGGCAAAACGAACCTGAGCTGATGGAGTTCGAGATTCAGCCCGGTTGGGAACGGTACCTCGATATCAGCGGATTGTTTGCACGCGTCCGATCATTCGACAACAGACATCGGCGCCTACGAATTGCCGTAGAAAACGCATTGACCCCGACAATCGACGCAGCTGATCGAGCCTCAAGAATATTTTCAGATCTGATGGAGTTTGGACCGTCGGATCAACATTGAACCAGCAAACCAGATGGAGCGCGAGTTTCTTCAGTTCAAGAATTTGACAACAGGAAGCAAAAATAAGGGGATATCAACTTCGACGACTGGACTACCGGAATTTCCAACAATCAAAATTCATATCTCTTCATTACGTAAGGAATTTCGGCAACATAACTTATCGACAGTCACAATATTCAGCAACAGACATCTGATTGGTAACATCGAATGATGGAAATGCTGTCGCAGCATGCAAATCATCGGATCGTCGACGAATCGACGACATAAATGGACTGTGAGACTTCTCGATAGGAGAAACACATAAGGGAGTCTACATTCGAGCCGGGCGACATAACGATTGCGTTTTATTCGATCAGTCGCAAAATCGACACCATTTCTACTATGAAGTCAGAAGCTTCGTTTGAAGCCAGATCCACACCAACGAAGCACAATTTAGTACTTTACAAAAAAAGCAGGTTTTGGTGGTACACCAACAATGTAGCCGAACATCTCCAACGACTACACCGGCTGGCATAAGACTATCGTTCTACATCGACGATATAAAGTACTTTGACAATTGGGCACATAAAGGATTGCAGAGAAGTAGCAGTTTTCTGTTGCAAAATCCTTGCCAACAAAAGTTGATGCGAAGGAGCAGATTTCGCATGCAACTACGACGCAGTTACTAAGTCTCGTTAGGGACAGTGAGACTCTACTTTGTAATAGGAGCTGATTTATTCTCTTTTTTTTCACAACGAATCTCAACCATCCGAAGTGATTGATTCGGTCAGTTTGACGTCAACCTCAAGAGACGACATCCCAATCATATGACCGCAATTTCAGGTGTTTATGACATCACACTAAGGCACGAGGGTTGACAGACCGAGGAGTCATGACCTCGAATCCGGCAATCATTCGCACACCTGCAACCCTACAGTACATGCATTCGAGGCGATTCTACTAGAAGCCGAAGCATTACAAGCCTCGACGTAACTTCGACGATGCAGGAGTACGCCCAGCAACACGATGGTGTTGACAAATACGGGAGATGCTGATTGCAACAAGACAATTATGAGCTCTACCGACCATACATCGGGAGCACGGATGAGCATACGAGATAGTTGCTGCCCGTGGATGTCACAAGGGGAGAAGCAAGTTATCTTCATGCCCTCGAGCAACCCAATCACTGGCAGCAATGGAGTGACACCTGTGCATCAAGACACACGTGTTTCTTGGTAGTTACTATTGTTACACTCATCAGGAAGACTCTACACAGAAGAGGGAGCGAATGGATTCTTCTTCGAACCGTTACCAGTTACGAGCATCGTTTGTAGCAGCCGCTGCTGCGAGTGTCTACCGCCGCCGCCACAGCAGACAACTACAGCAACACCCAATCCTAATGGATATTCCTCCAAACAATGGAGATGACACAGGAC